CTTCAGATGTGTTTTAAGACTTTCATATTTCACACGTTTTCTTTGTAACAAATCCTTCCCTTGGGTACCAGCAATTTGATCTGTGTACCTTGACTTTGGAGTTTGACTTGCATTTGAGAAACATTAACCTTCGCCATGGGCTGTCATACGTGGCATCAATTTTCATCTTGTGTTTTGGATTTAAAAAAAAGACAAATATATCATATATCATTTTACAATAAATTTGGATTTATGGTCACAGAATATTCAATTTTATTGCACAGAACTACACTAACAGTTTTATGATCGGGAAATCAGAAATCAGAGTCAAGTCTTTTGAAACAGGTTTTCAAAATGTTTATCATCGTGAAAATACATGCATGTCTAAACCAGAACATAGGTGTTTTCGAAAATGAAAACTATGTGGAAGATTCAGTAAATGCATATTTCCAAAGTTTCAACATCTTAGAAACATCGCAAAACTATAGTTCCACTGTTTCCCAGTCAGGAATCTATTAAGAAACCATTAATGCATGTTTCCAAGGTTTCCTTTCTTGGAAAACTTAGGGGGAACGACAGGTTGATTGTGTCAGTTTTGGGAACCTCCCTTTAAACCACGATGTGGTTTCTATAAAATGGAAACTAAATAGAGACTACTGATCCCACAAAACCTATATGCTTCCGTCTGGTTTCAAAATGTGGGAAACCTGCCATTTTACCTTTGTAACTTTGATGCGATGCCTGATATTATTCATACATTGTCTGAACATTCCCTGGTCAAGGGATACTGCCATTTATTTGTATGCAAAATCATTAGAGGATATTAGACATGTCCTAGCAAACTTATATGTTGCACGCAATACAGTAAATGGATCTTGACAAGATTTTATACATAAACTTATGAAGTATATAGATAATTAAAAGGTGCTGTAAACCTGATGAAACCTTGCAAAGGAATCATTTCTTTATTAAAGTTGTAGTTGACAAGCAAAATATTCAACATGTGTTATTTTAGCAATTACATATTTTTTTTTAAAAGAGATGGGATTGTAACACATTTTTACAAACAGAAATAGTTGTTGAAAATATTTATAAATTAAAATTAGATTTTTAATTTTGATATACCCTTGCAATATTGCAATTTATAAAGGACTTCAATAGTGAATGTATATTTTCTAAAATAGGTGACTGCCACATTAGATGAAAAGTCTAAACAGAAAATCTAATCGTCCTCAACATGTATTTTTATACACATGTATATGACATTTTCCAATAGTAGTAACGTACTTACAAGTATCGTTCATCCTTGTAAAGAATGTTTTATTTTTTGTTTTTATTATCTTTAAAAATATGCCGATATTTGCATTGCACACCTTAACTGTACTGCGTAATAAGAAACCTGTATACTAAACGGACCAGCTGTTCAAGTGTTTGATATACACACAGTCATATGACCCCCTTTGAATGTCCTGAATTTATTTACAAGAATATTAATTATTGTCAATTTCATCCTTTTTTTTTTTTTTTTACTGTTTAACACAATTGCACGCTATATAAACAATCATATGATCTCCTTGAACGTTATTGCTTAGTTTTAAAACATTGCATTAAGGATGTGATCTTAAAACGTACTACATTCGTCTTATCGTTGGAAAACAATAAATAGCTTCACTTGCCAGCTGCGCATTTTCTTCATCCTTGTTTTTGTATCCATTCTTTAAATCAAAACAACAAGTCCTCATATTTGAAATCAATCGCCCGCATATGTTTCTAAAGTAATCAAATTCGTTTCTTTTATTTTTGAGGTCCTGCATGCACCGATATGAGTTAATTAATTAATCTATGTATTCATCAATTACTGTGAAATTACTTATTTTCAAGAGGGTTTAATTATATTTCTTTTCGAGATATAAAGAGACACACGAATTCACGTAAATGTCATATACATAACTTCTCAACAATTCCTCATCCACGAAATCAAATCCATCCGAACCAATATTTTTTTTTTTTCTCTCAGATCTCGAAAATTTTACTCCACGAAACTGTGATTTTTCAGACATAAATCAATTAATTATTGATGTTTCACAGTTATATGTAGTTTCTGATTATTTTGATTAGGTGATTATCTGACAACGATATCAAAGCAATATATCATCACCGGGATTTTCTTCATCCGTTTAATTCAATTCAAAAACCCAATACATTTCTCATTTCCTTCTTACTGTAAAAACTTGAGCGAGAAAATAGGTATCGACATAAATTGTCTGAATGACTTGTTATACCGGATACAAGACAATTTCATGATTTTAGCTAAACTCATTTTGAAAATGTTGTCTAACTTCAAAAATTTGGTAAATAATTGCATTGGTTCTATTAAATATTTCAATACTTTTTGAAGATCAACAGCCAGTTATATATAAGCAATTGTTAGAGTTTTTTTTTTCCAAAATCTGACTGAAAAATGCTTTATAATATTTTTAGAAAACAAGATGATTGGAAAATTGTTGAAAATAGTTTTAGTTTATTTTTCTAATGCTCCATATAATTATAGTAAAATCACACGGATACTTTGGCATTCAGGATATGCATTAATTTCGGTTTATACGGTCTCTTCAGCAGGCCAGGTCTCTAATTCCCAAAGTGTATTTAAAATTGCAAAGAAGAGAATCAGCTCCTTCCATTTTTCTCTTCCACTGCGCCAATAAAGTATCAATCTTGAAATATGTAATCAGAAGTACTCAAAACAACATCCTGAAAAAAAGCATCTAAAGAAGTTAGACATTTTGGTCTTCCCCAAACCTAGATAGGAAGACTTTTTTTAAGAAATACCAGACTAAAGAGATGAATTAAGCCACCCTGAAGTTTAAGAGAATGACCTAAATGTAACATTTTTGCTACGTTCCCTGTTATGAAAGAGAATAAATTCGGACCACACTTTTCACAGAGTTCTATTATAAATAGTAGAGTATATTTTTACTAATAGCAATCTTTATTTTTGTACTTACAACGTTAAAACAGCAGATTGCATCAAAATAACATTTAATTGGAAACTCTTATTTATCTTCCATAGGTGTTGACTTTCTTGTCGTAAGAAATAATTTTTACGTGTACAATAATTTAAGAGGTGTTGAAGAGGGAGTTTAATTTTGTAAAGGAGGCTTATATATTTCATTGAAATATATAGAAATTACGAGATTAATTATCTAATTCTAAAGATATTCTAAAAATACAACCATTTACGAAAGAAAAGATAGGGGCTACAGAAAAAAAAAATATCCATTTTTAATCCTTACTCCTGTCAATTTAAAGGTAAATTTATTTTCATAATTGTATACTACTTTTATCTTAGGTCTTCGTATTCTCAAGCTGTTCTAGCATTGTGTTTCACAATCTATTCTTATGTAGTAACTGCTACCAGACACTTATGGCGACAATAGCGGTTATATGACGTTTTGATTCTTTGCTTTTGAAGGTTACTTATCTTGTCCATAATGGAAATATTTAAAAACTTTGTTAAACATAATCAAGTAGATCTCAAATTTAAAAAAAATAATTTCAAAATATGATCAGATCTTAAAATTTCAATGCTTGCTCATTATTATTCACTGATTGGGGATGTGACATAAATCGAACTCTTTAAGGCAAATATACCAATTAAAACTAACTAGTTTTGGAGTGAAATGTGCCAGTTAAGTTCTATTAACTGTAAACGAACTAAAATCCCTCCATTTTTTGATTAATTGTAAAAATATTGAAAGGTACAGCGAACGAGTTCTCGATCTTTCTGAGTTCTCGATCTTTCTGTACCTGCAGACACAACTTAACATAATTGAGGTGTTAGCCATGCAATGAGGTATTGTTTAACGAGTGCTTTGTGCAGTAACAACGTACAAACAGTTTTGAAGAATTTTAGCAAAGGGAGAAAGGTTTCCATAATATGTGCTCCTTAGTGATGTTCTTTAAGATTTTAATTGATAACAGGCACTCGACAAGACTCGTGTCTAGTGACAATTAAAAAGATGAAGGAACTCAAGTTATTCTTATTGTAACAAAAGAAAAGATAACTACTATTGATCATGTATTGAATTTCAAGTGACCATGTATAAGTTTTACTTCCTTCAAGTGACTAACTTCAACAAATCGTAAACCAGGATTCATCGAAAATCAACAGAGGTAGAGTAAGGAGTGTATTAGTGTATAAACAATAAAAACGAAGACTTTATGATGCTATGAGTGAAATCAAATGACCAGGAATACTCTCTAATCTTTAAAAACAAAAATTGAATTCCAGATAAAAGAAATAGAATGTAATCTAAATATCATATATATATATATATATATATATATATATATATATATATATATATATATATATATATATATATATATATATATATATATATATATATATATATATTCGTGGTTTGCGTTAAGACTAGGAAAAGGACAAACACGTACATTTGTTGTTTTTGTTTTGAACATATTTTATTGACAATATGTCAAAGGGATTGGACACAAGTTTTAAAAACATAGATAGTCCTATCCCATACTTATATAGTCCTCTCCCATTTGTTGTGCATTTTTTTTTTATACTAGTCATACTTAATGTTCAGTTTTGTTTTGTATTTGAATCTCTATTGACCAATATTCAAGGTTCTTATACAAGTGTATTCATATGACCCTTTTGAAAACTTATGTGTCTGTTAAGTGTCTACTTATGTCCATGTTCACTTCAAGTAATATCAACTGCTTTCGTATTTCTTTCGTAGTTATCATTTCCTTGGAAAAACATGCGACCTATAATAGCGACAATATTGGTTTGAAATATGTTTATTATCATTTAACCCCCCTATATTTATATTTTTATGTCATGCCTTTTGTACTTAAAACTTTAAGTTCTTTTAAGTGTTATTGTGTTTACTTTGGGTGATTTTGGAAAACCCCATATACTTTACAACATAGATATATAATCACATATATACCAGGTTTCATCTCCTGAGAAAGTCAAAATATTTTTCCTCCAGTCATTTGACTTCAAACAAAAAAATGAAGTTTTTCATTGTTTTTGCGATTTTAATTACGATATACAAGACGAAGACAACTTCTTTGCTAACGGGCACTCTCGCTCAGAACACAACAGTCTTAATTAATGAAAAACAGGAAATCAAGGAGATAGACGTTCTTCGACAGATAATAAATCAGGAGACCATCATTCGTTTAGCCTTGGTCAAAGATGTAAAGGCTGTGGTGGACGACATGGATTCTCTAAAGACTAGGATAGCGTCTTCGGAAACAGCAGTTAAATCTCTCAATGAAAATGTCACCAACATTCATAAAGACCTAAACAATAGTAAGTTGTGAAACATTGAGAAAGGTAAACCTCTCTCTCTCTCTCTCTCTCTCTGCATTATGATTTTCATGAAAAAGATTACATCATTATTGCTAGTACATATACAAACATAATGCACATAAGAAAGTAGATCTTTTTGTTTATTCCAAATTTTTCTTTGTTTATTTAACGTCCTTTTCGGTATATTTTCACTCATATTGAGACGCCACCATTGCTGGTACAGGCTGCAAATTTTAGACCTATACTCGGCATTCAAGACCATTGAGCAGCGAAGGATCTTTTTGCAAGTATCTACTGCGATACGGAACCTCATCCAAAGGAAAGGTCGCAACATCCTGCACTGGGATTCGAACCCGCGACGTAAGGATCAACTCCTTACTCAGCGACTCTAGAGCAAACGGTCTAACCACTGCGCAATGCGGGCGACAATTTTTCTTTTAAGAAAATGCAGTAAATTAAAAGACATTAAGACTATGTTTTTGTGTTGATTATTCTACAAAACGCTTAAATAACGTAAAATCCAATGGATTGATTTAAGATTAAAATTAATGATTTCCAATATTTGCACCTGAGATAGCACGCTTAACAATGTAACCGACGACAAACCATGTTAAATTATGATTTCAATCCTTGAAATGTAAAACCTAGATTTTATTAATACCATTTAGAAGCTATAAACAACATGATGAAAAAAAAGAATTTAAAATTGCATGTTATTCTTATGGGTATCATTTGAATTTAATATTTCAAACTTTTTTGGAATGCGACATTTATGTTCTTTATCTTAACATTTTAAAATTAAAAGCATCTGAAGACATATAACAAGCATAAAAAAAAGTACAACATTTTATATATATATATATTCTTCTACTATCCAATTACACAATAAAAATGCAATATGATTTTTTTAGATTCCAAAAGAACATGCGAAAAAGAAGGGGTCAATTACCAAGGGAATTGCTATTATTTCTCAACATCAATTGCTTCTTTTAAAGATGCAATGGTAAGACAATAAATCACACCGGTCTTTTTATCGATCTTTAAATGAAACAGTCTAGTCATACACGTATACTCTCTCTCTCTCTCTCTCTCTCTCTCTCTCTCTCTCTCTCTCTCTTTTATTTAAAGAAAAAATATTTTTTACTTTGAGTGAGGAATTTGTTGAAACATTATTTACAACACATATTTTTAAGCATTCAAACATTGAAGACCTCCCTTAATTTTTTTTTTTTTTTTTTTTTTTTTTTTTTTTTTTTTTTTGCGAAAAAGTTATTATTTAAGTCAAAATGTAAGAAAAAATTTGCATAACTCAGGTAAAAAATCTATATGTAATTTTAAACGGATATACATGTATTAAAAATGTTTTCAATCTAACTAGAGTCCAAAACAATAGTCATAATTAGCATTATCTAAATTGTATCTGTATTAAATCCATACTATAGAAGGTATTTCTTGTATTCTGTAGGGAGCTTGTCATTTAATTGACGCAGAAATGGTAGAACTTCAAAATGCAAAGGAAGAAAAATGGCTTGATCTTCAGTTTCGGCTAAGAGGTACAATGATATGAATTTAAATTGATTTTGCTTCATACACTGTTTGCAGTTAAAATTAACGAATTTAGATGATCATCATTATCTAGATTTTGCTTACAATTGATTAAGGGAATATATAATTTTATTTCTATTTTGATTAATCATCAAATGTATATTTGGAAGCTGGTAGGTTCCAGGTAAGGAAAATATTTTATCTGTCAGCCGGCAGATAATTTTATGGCGACCGCCAGATAATTTTATAGCACCTGTCATTGAAATATCTGGCGGCCGCCAGATAAAATTTGGGTTATTCATTTACGTGCGCTTGATTAACTGCTACACAGTTATGCTCTCGGCTTTATTTCTACCGTAAGCAAATTACATGTAGTTAGGCCTGATTTCATTATTTTATGCTTATTATGAAAATGATTTAAAATTCCATGACCGATATATATATATATATATATATATATATATATATATATATATATATATATATATATATATATATATATATATATATATATATATATATATATATATATATATATATATATAACCATTTACTCTATCCCTTTGTATTTGACAGAACTTTATTTTTGACTCGACAGAGAGTAATTGTTGGTGAAGAGAATTGTTGTGTTTCTGCTTTTAAGTGTTATCTGTTTGTAGTCAAATCTGGATATTGCATGCCTTATTAGCAAAGATTATGTCTACACTTTATACAAAAATTTTCGTTTAATAAGGTTATGTTACACTTTAGATTTATGCTTTATTAAATTACGTATCAACATCGCAAGAATCCTATTTTGCGGCCGCTAGTTAATTATGTGGCGGCCGCTAGATATTTATATGGCGACATCCAGTTATTTATGTGGGGGCAGTCAAGTCTTTGGCGGCCGGCATATAATTATTTGGCGACCGCCAGAAATATTCATTTTCGCCTGTTATATTTCTCAGGCAGGCCGCCAGATAATTCTTTTTCTATCTGACATCTATCGGCTTCTGTAAATTTTTGCCAAGACATCGAGATAAAATAGTGTAGACTTTTGAGCTAAATAATGTCAGTATTTAACAGTTTTAAATATAATTTAAAAGGTTATCAAACACATGTCTGGCTAGGTGCGAGTGATGTTCAACAGGAAGGAAAGTTTATATCTGTATCAAATGCTGAGGAACTTCAATACATCCACTGGGTGAAGGGACAACCAGATAACATACGCGGGATAGAGCATTGTGCCACTTACTGGATCCGCCGAAAGGGAATGAACGATGCACCTTGCCACAACAAGTATAACTACGTATGCAAAACAAATATTTTATAAAAATATCAACCTCAAAGAGGAATGATATCTGATTCCAAAGTTGACTATAGATATCAATAATCAACCCTATGTACTTCTTTGTATATATTACTGCAGTTTGACAAGAAAATACGTTTTAAAAGCTTTGTCTTTGAATGTGGAAAAAATGCTCTTATACACTGAAGACTACATAGTTGAAATCTTTTATACTCAATGGAGCTTTGATGACTTACTTTGATACTTTGATTTACTTTGTTGCGTTGCCAATTTACTTTTATAACATGCATTGTGTTATGGAATATAAACAGAGTTGTGGAGTCAGTTCGACATTAAAAACAAAGAAAACGATGTGTTGATTAACAAGGTTTATTGAAGAAATCTGAATTATTTTTAATTATTTGGAACATGATTTGAAGAGTACTGTGGGGGTTATATTCTAACAAGAAAATTTGTCTTTTAATCTCTTACCTCCCTACTGACAAGCTATTTGGGGAAAAAGTCTAAACTAACACTTCTGTAAAATGCCCTTAAAAATAAAATTTCATTCCAGAAACTAAAGTATTTAAAATACTTTAGTGCTTAATCTATCAAATGAATACATAACCGATAATTTAGTCCATTTAAAAACCTACATCATGAACAATTGATATCAGATAAGATTCAGATATTCGGACGATTCATTTATTCGGACAATCTTACCTGGAAACAACGTGTCCGGATGAACGAGATTCAACTGTATTGCTATTATTGTCAACTACTATATCTATATTCCTATTAAGACTATCGAGACTTTTTTTTGTTTTTTGCTATTTTGCTATTATATATATATTTACATTAGAATACATAGCTAATCTAGAAACGTGTTTCCTCTAACTCTCTGAATATATATTATCAAAAAAATTACAGTCGCAGCCCTTCAAAAGGAAAGGGGTCATTTAAAAATACGCAGATCATAACTTTTTAAGATAAGGTTATATTATATACAAAACTGGTAAAAAAAAATATAGCAATATATGAAGGTAATTTTAATAAATAATTTGAATGTATCACGATATTTATCAAAAGTATCTAAAATCTAAAACAGCGAAAATTTTGTCTCGGAGAACTTTATAATGTATAATGTCTATTGTCATATCTCTAATAAAAAACGTTTAAATTTAGAATTATAGGATGGATGCCGACTTTTAATGTAATACATTGCTTCTTTGAAAGGAATTTATTTCTAAAGACAGGTTAATAGCCCTTATTGAAAAAAGCAGAAAAAAATGATGTCAAAGGACATCACGGATCAGGGAATAGAGATTAAAGTTTCTTTAGCACACGGAAAACCTCTAAACCTACTCTGAAGATGCTGGGGGAACCTGGAAACATATCAAAAATGATCCGTTCCTTTGTATATAAGTGGATAAGACGGGGTTTTGAGTGAAAAGAACTTTGAATCGAACGATAGATTGTCTGCGGAGTAACAGATTATACCCATAGGTAAAATCTATTCAAAAGATTAAATAACGTCAGGGAAAGCTCTGTTCGCTTTACTGTTGAGGATCTTCTGAAGCAGAGCTACATGTACGTAGTAGCAAATTTCGAAAACACCTGCAAACTAAATTAAGAATGACTTTTACACAGGGTTTTAGTTGACAGAAATGAAATGCTATACAGTACAACATGTTTAATCAAAAATGTTCTAAATGGACAAAACAGCTATGTTATTATTCATTATCAATTTGTAAATTTAATATTTTATTACAAAAATATAAAGGACAAGAATCATTAAATATTAATAGCCTCAGTTAACGTTTATTACCATCATTTAATTGTTATGAGGTCAATGATCAGATTCTTAAGATATTGAATATGAAATGGGTTTTGTTCATATTTTTTGAAATTCTGCATTGCATGCCACTCAATTATTTGAAATAATACACGAGCTTTTTGTTGAATTTAAGCAGATTGATCAAAGTTGTATTAGATATTCAGAAGAAAAAAATCAAAGTGGGGGTCTATGATGTAAATATTTGTCACAATATGATGATAGAATTCATAAAAAAATTAATTAATATTTCAGAACCAGTTTTAAACGTTTCACTGAACAAAACAGCTCTGTATGCAACCAGCATTGATAAATAGGAATCTAAACTTAACAGTACTGTAAATACTTCAAAAGGGAAAATTGATATTTCTTCTAAAAAACCGTACGCCACAAACTTTAGTTCCTGGTTTAATTCTATTTGTATGGAATGTAATCACAGTTTCAGTTTTCATTGAATATAGCTTAATTTGCATTTTAGAATCCAAATTTAATGTAAGAACTTAAATATGAATGAATATGATGCAGAATTTTAGCAATAAATGGCCGGATAAAATTCTGCTCAAAAGTTCAGGATCAAATTCCTTAAATGTCCGTGACATTACTTCCATTTAACCCAAATTAATGAAACTTCATATGTAAAGGGACATTCCTGTAGCACATGTATATGTATTTTTTAATGACACTCGTAATAAATTTTACACACAGTCACTGATTGCAATGTTCTTGTCAACATGACGTCATCTTGGTAAAATCTGATGCCATTTTTTGCAGTGAAAGGCGGATCAAGTTTATTTTTTTCTTTTTTCAGTAAAAAATGCATTTTTTTTAAATTAAAATACGCTATTTCCAGGAAGTCAGTAGAATATGAATTACAATGTGTAACTTTTGTTTAATGCCATTATTTCATTATCAGGAGAAAGTATTGAATTCATCCTACCGTGCTTTTATACAGGGTTCAATTCAATTCAAATTCAATTCAAAAAAGAGTTTGATATACTATGTTATTTCAATTAATATGAAAGTAACCTTATGATACAATAGCTTTACATAAATGAATTCAATTTTAAAAGGTATATATTAGCACACTTCTTTATTCCAATGATTTGTTCATAGTTCGCCTTAACAGTGCAACGTAATAACAAAACTTTTTTTTTTCAAAAGGGTAACACGATTTTTCTGTTGAAAAGTTTGACAAGAAACATTAATGTGATTAAAATTATGTTTTATTATCAATTATATTTTCTTTTTCTCTTTTCATTTTTTACATGCATAGTTCAATCTGCTACCACATGGTGCATCGTTCATCCCTCGTACAGACACGGCATAGGTAAGACAGTGTTCGATATTTCCCGCGTTATCCGGCTGTCCTGCTGCACAACGAGTATAATAAAGTCCCTCGGCATTGGATAAATATAAAAACTGCCTTTCACGTTAAAGATCACTTGCACCAAGCCAGACTTGATCCACTTCACCTTTAAATTGATGTTAAAATTTTAATGAATATCATTTAATTTTCTATATGAATAGTTTGTCTGGGTGACAAAAAAGCTTAAATAACTCTTCTCCCTAGATGAATAATGAAATTCACAAAAGTATCAGGAATAAAACAATTAAATGATTCATATTTCAAATAAAGCAAACTTTATTATTTAATTGAAATCTTATTACTCTCATTATATCTACATGTTTCAGCAGTACTTAAGTCAGTGTTAAAAACATTAAAAATGTAAAAACACCATACATTTCTAATAATATACCTCGTACTCGGTTGTGAAGATCAAACCATTTCTCTTCCTTTGCATTTTGAAATTCCACCAATTCTGCACCCAGGTTGTAACATTCCGTCTAAACATGTTTAAAAAAATATCTGTTTTAGAAAGATATTATCGGGGTAACAACTGGATGAAATTAAAAAAAAAAGTGATGTACAATAATTACTGTTTGAAATATATACTTTATTATCCGTCTAGTTAAGATGGCTGAGTGATCTTGGCCATTTTTAGACCACATGTGTATTAACAGTTTATGAAAAATGATATTTTGTTACAAAGAATTGAAATTGCAGTAAGTATAATAACTACTTTGTTTGTTTCGGTTTTTCTTTACTTTAAGTAGTTTATGAAAAAAAAATCATGGTTTGGTTAATTCTTTGACCATTCGATTCCCATATTTTATTAATAATTGACAAACGTTGCAATCATTTTATTACATATTTACAGATAATTATTTTTGAGAAAAAAGGAGAGAAAACAGATGTCTTTGATTTGTTATGTTTACCAAAAAAAAAAAATGTATCAGATTATGATTTAATCACCAAAATCAGAATATGAGTATTTTCTTCTTGAAAACAAACTCTTTAAAGGATTTGTAAACCAAATATAACTCGTGAAAACTTTTTTCACCATTTGTAAGTTTGCACTACTTTTTTTATACGTCTCTAGGAAAACTTTCATAAAAATGTATATAAAAGGCACATATTTCATGGTAAGAAGCATTTGCAAGTAAAGGAACCATTGCGGGTATTTCGCGTAAGCGGTCTTAAAATGTATAGTCTACAGCATAATTTGAGTTATTTGCATTTTGAATTAAGTATAAAAACTTTGTTTTATTGTCATAAATATTCATTTAAAAATTTGTTGGGCACCCGACAGATCTAGACCTAGTTGAAAACATTTTGCTTTATCATCGAAAGGTTATTAAATTACATTAATCCATACTATTAAGCTATATATAACTAAAATAACAAGCGTACTTTGACTTTCCAGAAATACATGCAATTCCTTTAATTCTTTGACACAGGAAATATAAAAAAGGGTGTTTAAATGATTCATTTGTCTAAGTCTTCGGGACAGAGAACATGTAATAACTTTTGATTGAGGAAGAAAAAAAGTTGATAGAAGTTCATTCATGATCATACCATTGCATCTTTGAATGTAGATTTAGATTTTGAAAAGTAATAACAACTCCCATGGAAGGTGACCCATCCTTTCTCGCAAGGTGTTGTGGAAGCTGAACGATTTTAAAGTAAAAGCAACTTTTCAATATGCAACACAAAATGAACCACTTATGATTTTCGTTTTAATTGCCCTTCAAATGACAAACGTATGCATCATATATTGATCATTTATGTGAATATGAAAATCATACAAGGGTTCAATAAAAAAAAGGTTGTAGACACAATGATTTATGGGAAACTATAAACTTGCCGTTAAAGAATACACACAATATCAATCCATTAATCAAATAATCAATCAGTCAATCAACCCTTCAAAGGCTGCTACTATTTGAACAGCATCTAGCCATAATTTAGTCTCTTTTTGGTGAAATCCCTGCCTGAATACATTTTTAAACACAAGAGTGCTCCAAAATATTGAAGTCCGTTGCAATTTTTTGCACTCATTGATTACCCTTTTTTAGCGATAAGACAGCAATAAATTTTCCAATTCAATTTTCAATTTTTTTTTTCAAAAGAAGTTCGAAAAATATTGTGCAGTCCCTGAAACTTTCTACTTTCCCATTTTTCAGTTCGTTCACCGTGCATTAAGCGTGCGTTCACCGTTCGTTCACCGTGCGTTCACTGTTCGCTCTCCGTTCAGTTTTGCATTCAGCATTCACCGTGCACTCGCGTTCACCGTTCACAAAGCGTTCACCGTTCGCCCTCCGTTAGTTCACTTTGCGCTCACCTTGCGTTCAGCGTTCACTTAACGTTCATCCTTCACTGTCATTCGGAACTCCGAAGTGAAAGGACATCTTTTTTGAAAGTAAGGATTTATAGGTTTTGAAATTAAATAATTAACATTTCGTGTTTAAAGGATTATTTTTTCATAAAAAAAAATATCTACAATATGTTTTATTATTATTCTAACTAAGCTGTTACATGTTGGTTATTTGTTAATTAACTCTGGAAAATAATTGTAAGTATGTACCTTTGTAGAACGATGCTGAAAAAATAAAATTTAAATACGGTCAATATAAAGATACTTAAAGCACTGCAACATTTTGTTGTTATGTTAAATACGACAAATCGTTAATGGAGAGATAGTAATCTATGTCAATTAATTTACCACTACGCTGCATTTTTTTCTGCTTTACATATATTAAATCTATTGTTAGAGAGAAAAAATTCCTTCCTTCCTTTACACTAACTTTATATGTTTGCCATTCGAGATTAATAAGGCCCCCCTCCTTTTTTCCACCTAAATTGGTTACATAGTCAGTATTTCCAGTATATTTTAATTAATATTAGAAAAAAAGTTAATGCGTTTTGTACCAAAAAATTCAGTCTCAATACAAACATGCATCTAAATACGTCATTTAACAATAGTAGTTCAATCCATACTCGTGCCGTTCACTTTGCGCTCGCGTTCGCGCTCCGTTCGCGTTCTTCGTACGCTCACCGTTCACCTACCGTTCACCAAGTTGCGTTCAGCGTACACACATTCTTACACTCACCGTTCGCTTTGCGTTTGCTAACTGTTCGCTCTGCGTTCGTTCAGCGTTCGCTCACCGTTCACGCGGGAAAGTAGAACGTTTCAGGGACTGTAGATACAGGTGAACTATTCAAATTTCTTCGAGCTAAAAAAGAACATTCATAAGGTCACAAAAATATATATCTCTATATGTAAACATGCTCTGTGAAGCATTTTCATTTTCATTGATGTGCCTGTGTATTCTTAATTCTAATGCACCTATTTTGTAAAATGAATTTTGATTGGCTAATGTACTGCTGATTGTAAAACGAGCATTAACGAGAGCAAAAGATTCTCATTGTTACGTCATAATAGAGCGACTCAAATACACAACGCTCCTTGACGTACTGTATAAAACAAAACTTAACAAAACAAATCGTAAACATCAAACAAAATGCATAATTAAGCTGCATTAGAATGTTATGCGTCGCCAGTAAAACCCATTTTGTGACCGTGAAATGAGCATTTACATCGCAAATATCAAAATAAAATACAGTAATTCCTTAATTGATTAACTGAATATATCTTTGAAAATACTTTATTGTTTTTTTTATATTTATATTTTTATTAATTCCAAGAAAACAGCGCGCTCATAACCTAATCTGTCCAAGGATTTTTTTTAACAAGCCTTGTCGAATATATAATAAACTTGAATTTCTTGCAGAAAAAAGTGAACGAAATATACGTATGTTTTATAAACACAAATCAATTGTAAAATTTAAAAGAAATATTTAATATAAAAGGGACCGACTGGAGTTTTCATTGCGTAATATTTCTCATATCGTAGAAATATGTGTTTCTTACATATAATGTACAATATAGCATAACTGATCAAATATAATAAGTTGAGCAAAAAGTATTCATATAATTTGTTTCGAAGTGCAAAAATAAGCACTTTCCCATATAACCCTATAGTAATACCCTGTTCACACGGAGAGTTTAATTCGAATTAAACGTTAGTTACTGCGATTTACATTTGAACCGCGTTCACACGGATAATTCAATGCGAATTAGTTTAATTCGTATTAATTTATTGCGCATTAAATTACTCCGTGTGAACGCTAAGCGAAGCTAATTCGAATTAAATTTTGACGCATGCGTAAGGGCAAAATTAAGTCACAGGCCACATGTCGGTAGTCAGATATAGGTACTTGTGCTATTTTTGAGTGGAAAACAAAGGAAAAATATGTTAATCACTAAAATGTGTACAGATACTATGACATTATGTCAAATCAGTGGTCAAATGTATCTGCTAGGCACAATGTGACGTGATTCACAATGACGTCATAATAGCCTTACTGAATAGTCTTATTGTAGAAATAAAAAAAATAATTCGCATTAGGTTTCTTCACATTAGCTGTTGTGTGAATGCAATTAATTCGCATTAGTTTAGTTCACATTATTTACTTCGCATTAATTTACTGCGAATTAAACTCTCCGTGTGAACAGGGCATAAGTGTTCCTGTCTTTTGAGACGGTCCCTAAAAATACCCAGACGGTAGATTTTTCCCTTAATTTGGAGTGGACACTGAAGTCTTATATGTTACATATAATATATAATTAAATGGTTTCTCTTTTGTAGTTTTCAAACGATAAAACCACAGTCGGATCCCTTAAATCAAAATGAATATATAAGGAATAATGATATAAAAAGATGGGGGAAACCTGAAAATGTTACTGGTTACAAATTAATTAGAGAAAAACAATTATCACTAATGTGCTGAATCCTTTTGCTAAATCTAGTTCTGGACTTCTTATTATACTTAGATGAATTTGCATACATATCTTGGACATATAAATTTAAAGAAATTAAGGAGTAATTTTATAACACATGCCACGAACCTTGAAAATCTATTTGAAACATCAAAGGAGATACTTACTCATATAGATTTTACCAGTGAAGGCATTAAGCATCATCAAGACAAATAATTGCCTAATTTTAAAATGCATCCTGTTCAAAATCAAACGCTCCCAGGCGTCAATATATCTTTCCTAAAATGGTTCATATTTACAAGCATGAAAAGATCGATAGCTTTCACAGTATAACATTTAAACATATCAGTCATAATAAAACATTTTTGCTGTCATCTGTGCTGTTGTTAGAGTGATTACATGAATAAATCTGCAGGAAAAGAACTAGAATCACGAACCATTAAAATTTACCTCAAGTTTTTGAAGTCTGATATCAGAAATTCTGTCATTTATCATATTGTAGTGCACGATTTTTTAAACAATATTTTCAATTTCTATCTACTCGGGTTCCAGTACTAAGTACAAATCAACAGCTCTAAACTCCCCTTTAAAGTGTTAATTATACGACAAAAATATATAGTAATTGTGCCAATTTCAGATTTTGTACGCTGAAAAATATTTCACATACAAGATTCGTTCGACAAATACATACATCTTTCACATAACCTTTTTTCTAACGTCATAATGTATATTTAACATTGGTGGATTTATTCAAACAATACATTTTTTTTCTAACAATAAATCTAAAATTCAAAAATATCTTGATAGGTTCCAAAAACGTATAAAATTTAATGCTGCAAAAATGGGGTGAAGGAGCACATAAAAAACTTTGTAATATACAAGAAATACTCTATATAGTGCAATATATCTGTAAAATAACGTCATGCTTGTATTCCCGAAACTCAGGATAGCTAAATATGGAGGTCTTATTGCTAGCTGCGGAACGAACAACATCTCTTCTAGGCATACCTATATAAGCCCTCTTATGGAAAGGGCTTATATAGGCGCAATCCATTTATGTTTCAGTACATAAAGATATGTTCAAATCAAATCAGATCTCTTCTGGGTTGATTAAATACAGTTAAGAATTTTCACGTCGTAAATTTAGTCATATTTCAAATTCATATTAAATCGAGAATGTTCACCTTATATAAAGCAGTTCGAGAGCACAGATGTGCAGTAACGTGGTAAATTAACAGTCAGAATCTCTCCGAAATCCTAAAAGTTCAAGGATATCCGCTTCAGTTATTCCTGAGTTTTTAAACAAAAGTAGTTAGTATTCCTACATGTATTTTGAAAAAAAGCTTGGTGCTGGTTGTGCATTGAAATTAATTTATTTTATTTTGGTTGCACCTTTCACGATCTTAATAGCTGCAATTCAAACTGTCACATGACAAATAGTTGATGTTAGTGACGTCGCCTTAGCTGAGCATAAAAGATACTAGATATATATACGTAATGGATATATGCCGAATACTGTTCTATATGTAAAATTATCAGACGGTTTGAGGCCCGTTTGGGCCGAAAACAGTCTGATAATTTTACATATAAAATTGTATGAGGCATATATCTTACTTAAAACATTGCTATTTAAATGTCCAAAAGTTACCTGAAGGAGTCCGATAATTACACAACAGGAGTTCAGGCATCAATAGTTTTCTACCTGGAACCATCTAATAAGTAGACAAAAGAAAAGAGAATTTTTTTTTTCTTTAGACAGTAAAATCACTGAGTGAACTCTTTTGTTTCATTCATTCAATGGCAGTCGTTTGGCTAAGCAGGAACTATGGACAGTCGTTAGGTGATGAAGGATTTTTCTATGATTCGGAATAATTTTTTTTATTAAGTGCGTTTGACATTGATACACATACAGTGTGGATGATATCTTCAAAATGCATTTAAAGTAAAAATGCGGATTTTTATCTAAAATTTTGATTGGATGATATAATGAAAATCGCGGGTTTCAAAAGTGCGGACATTGGCGAACAAACCTCGTTAAATGAAGAGATTCACAGACTGGTTCTTTATCAGAAATGGATAAAAAATGGCTTATTCACAGTGCTGTATCGAAACGCTTTGCAAAAAAACGAATGGAAAGTGTTACTTTTGAGGAAGGTTTAAACTCCAGTTTCTTCTTGGATTTGATATTTTTAACAACTTAATTTCCTCGCGTTTGCTTTCCCTGAATTTTTTCTACCTAACTTTTTGGGGGGTTTCTGAACAAATTAAACCTTGATTTTACACTAGTTGTTGTTTTTTAGCTAATGTCCGAATTTGTTATCACTGCCGTCCGATAATATATTATTGGACTGCTAATTATTATTATCGGACGGCTACGGGTAAATTTTTAGACTGCAAGAACAAAGGCATGTCGTCACAGCAATCTTTAATTTTAAAAATACAGGAAACAAAATTCCAATTCATTTTGATCGTGTATGTATTTTCATGGAATAAATTTTGGGATATTTCGTATGCTTGTCCTTCACCTAGCTGTGCAATCATGT